CTCTCTCTCCCCGTGTGTGTGTGTGTGTGTGTGTGTGTGTGACAATGACACATCACACACATCAACGAAACTAGGCATAAGCGGCTTGTCTGGACTCAACCAACGATATTTTTGAGGGACACCGACAATAATGGCACGCACGTAAACACGGCGGGAGAGTCCGCAGTGACGGCAACTGTTCGCAGTTCCTCTCTCTCTCTCTCTCTCTCTCTCTCTCTCTCTCTCTCTCTCTCTCTCTCTCTCTCTCTCTCTCTCTCTCGGGGTCGCGAACAGCTTGAGATTGTAAGCCAGAGCTAACAATCTCAAGCTGTTCGCGAGGGAAGGTCAGAACGGGGGGAGGTCGCCATGAGGAAGAGACATGGGTAAAGCAGGTGCAAACGGATATTGCAACAGGATGTCGAAATATGGGAGAATCGGGGTAACAGGAGGAGGCGAAGGACGAGAAAGGACAAGCCGGGGTTTACCGCGTTCTTTATGGCAGAATAAGCATCGAGGAGGGGAAGGAGGAGGTGGAGGAGGGGGAGGAGGAGATGGAGGAGGAGGAGGAGAAAGGATAAGCCGGGGTTTACCTCTTTCACTATGGCAGAATAAACATAAAGGATAAGCCGGGGTTTACCTCTTTCACTATGGCAGAATAAACATGGAGGAGGAGGCGGGGTTTACCTCTTTCATTATGGCAGAATAAACATGGAGGAGGAGGTGGAGGAAGACGAAGGATAAGCCGGGGTTTACCTCTTTCATTATGGCAGAATAAACATGGTCCAGATTCGCATACCGTCACCGCTTTGACTACGGAGGACGCAGCGATGCGAATCTGGAGGACGCAAAATAGACATGCTTCAAATACCGCCTATCTCCACGGTAGCATGCCGCCCGCCTCATAGGCCGTTGGTGCCCCCGAGCGGCATTCAGCAAAGACCGCTGATCTTCGTAGGGTGAGGGGACCGGAGGGGGGAGCACAGCTACTGCCTATCGAAGAATCGGTCCTGATGGTACCGGCTGCCCCCTGGCCGGTATTCGCAGCCCTAAGGCTGTTCGCAGCCCTTAGGCTGCGGTATACTGTGCTTCAGCCTCTGTGTCAAGGTGTCGCATTTTCGGTGGCGGGTTAGGGGACAAATGTTTTTTGGAGACCGGTCCTTGGCAAAATTGCGGACTACTTTCGACGGCCGTCTTCGACTTCTTCGTTGCATGCGGAAGTACGACATAGACGGCAGCGGAATGACGACACGGTTTGCACGTCGCGGCTATGGAGGGCGGTGCAGAGGGTAGACGTAATGTGTTGACTCCTCGTGAGCTGCAGGCCGTGGCGATGACCGTGTCCACGATCGTTCTTCGATGTCAGCAGGAGAGGGCACTGGGGCGACTGAAGAAGCAGTTGCGCGTGCGTAGACGGAGGAAATTGATGCAAGATCCGTGCGATGGGGCCGAATACGTGGCGACGTCGGAGGTTATTGTTCAGCTGTGCTACGCGTTGGGTTGTGGAGTGATACCACGTGCGACACCACGGTGGTGGGTCAAGCGCAGGACAGGAGGCACGTGGGAAGACCTCAGGCAATGCGACGATGCGACAGACGACTACTTCCAGGATAAGCTTCGAATGTCGCCGCGAGTGTTCCGAGAAATCGTGGAGGCGTTTGCGCCTCATCTTCAGCGGCGGGTGACGTTCTACAGGGAGCCTTTGCACCAGGACCAGATTGTGGTGTATGCGCTGTATAGGTGGGCTTCAGGGGAGACGTACGAGAGCAGCACGTGCAACTTCGGGATTGGACGAGTTTCTGGCCTGATTGTCGTCCGCGACGTGACTGCCGCACTGCTAAGGGTGTTCGGAGAGAAGATCGCGTGGCCGACAGGAGTTCGTAAACTCGTCGTTCTGCGGGCGTTTGCTGATAAAGGGTTCCCCAATTGCCACGGTTGCATTGATTGTACTCACATCTACGTCGACAAGCCGGCAAACGCTCCGAGCGAAAACTACTACGACAGGAAGCGTCGTTTTTCCATCGTCGTGCAGGTTGTTGTCAACCTGGACTTGCGTGTGCTCGACGTGCACATGGGATACCCAGGTAGTTGCCACGACACTAGGGTGTTGCAGTTGTCCAGCCTGTCACTGCGCGCAGAGGAGAGGTCGTTGTTCCATGGTCCCCCCGTGACACTGTCGTTCGGTGTGAAGACGAACGGGTACGTTATGGCGGACAATGGCTACCCCACTTCCGAATGGACGGTCGTCCCGTATGGAGGCATCAATCAGCACGTCGACGAGGAGCGGTTTGACAACAAACAGAAGGTGGCGAGGGGAGCGGTGGAGAGGGCGTTCGGCAGGCTAAAGGGCATGTGGCGGCTGTTTCTGCGGACACACAAGACAAACCTGGAGACGCTACCGCAACAGTTCACCGTCGTGTGCATACTGCACAACATGCTGATGCCTGTCGGTCTGTCGTTGCCCAGTCGTCGATCCATCCTATCGGCTTTCTTTGAAAATCTCCTTCTGCAAGCCGCGACCAGGACGAGACCGACGAAACACACGTGGAAGAAGACAACGACGAGAAGCAGCACGACGACGAGGACCAGCAGAGGCATCCTGTGCAGCAGGTCGACCATGTAAGGGTCGTTCGAAGGGCTTCAGTGTGACGTCGGCGGTCGACCGTTCAATGAACAAGCCCGTCGACACAAGAAAAATCGGTGGAAGTTTTGTGCTCCAGCGTGAGAGGCGTGACGACAATCGAAGAAAACGACGATCTTGTCCAATGAGACTGTTGTCGTCGAAAGTGGCGTCGGATGGGAAAAGCATTCGAAATTCGGACCGTTGTCAACGATCGCCCGCCGCAGCAGACCTGACTGGACGCCGGTCGGCATTTCGTGTCGACGGATGGAGGCCTCCCGACGCCGGTTACCGTTTGGAGCCGTTGGGGTGCCGTGCAGATTTTGGACGCAAGGATGTCCGTGCTCCGGTTCGCTGGACCACGTGTGGACCACCCTCGAACCGAAATTGTGCGTCGACGCATGCCTTCGCCACTCCGAAATTCGCACTTCCTTGTGCTCCGAGGGACCTCGAGAGGTCCCTTAGGGTTAAGGAAAAATTGGTTGTGGCCACAAGGACCCCACAAGGAAATCTCCTTCTGGTGTTTTCACTTTTTTTTTCCAGAATCGTCCGCAATGACAGATGGATCGATCATTTCCTTGTGGATTTCGGGTCCACAAGGAGTGTCTAACGAGGCCCAAACACCTTGGAAGCGACATTCGTCACTCATGAGGGTTTTGTCTAAAGCATGAGCAGTGCATGAACTGCACGGATCGAGAAAGTAAGATATCCTCCAACATAGTACGAATATGGGCCGTTTGACGACAAGATTCACGCTTTACTGGTACGAAGATTAAACCCAAACGAAAGGCAACCAAGACCGACCCCAGTAGCAAAGGGAAGCCCGAGCCAAAGGGATCTACAGACACGGATGGCTGGCAACGCCAGTTCGCAGCCCTTAGGCTGCGGTATAGTGGGCTTCAGCATCTGTGTCAAGGTGTCGCATTTTTGGTGGCGGGCGACCAGGATGCAAAGTGGGTTTTTAGGGGGCAAAAAAAATTGGGGAACCGGTCCTTGCCAAAATTGTGGACTACCTACAGATGGCTCCGGTAGAACCGCGACTTTTGGAAAAACGAAGGACTGGTCCTCGGGTGGAAGTGGACCCCAAAACGAAGTGGGGGGCATTGGACCGGTCATCGAGTAGAAGCGGACCCCAAAACGAAGTGAGGGCATGTGAAGTACAAAAGGGCCCTCAGGCCCAGGCGTTGAGCCCCGTCTTCTCAAAACAGGGAGGTCAGGCACAACGAAACAGGCGTTTTGCAAGAGGCAACTTTGACGATTTTCTGTGCTCAGACATGCACAAAAATCTAAAAATTTTGAGAATCCATAGATGAGGTCGTGTTCTTTCCAAAAATAATAATAGAACATTTAAAAAAAATCATTTAGACTGCGAAATAATCGTCTCGCCGTTTCAACATATTTTCCATTTTTGCCACTCAGCCATGCCTGGGCCAACTAAAAAAGTACTCCAAATTCAGTGAGTTTTCACGCTCAGAAGAATGCGTGAAAAAACCTGAAAATTTGAGTACTCGTAGATTTTGTTGTGATTTTTTCAGGAAAACTGCTAAATAAATTAAAAAAAATCATTCCAACTGCGAAATAGATTGCGGCCGCAATTTCACCCATATTTCAATTTTGTCATTCAGCCTCTCTCTCTCTCTCTCTCTCTCTCTCTCTCTC